TCGGCCATGGTGATTTGATCGTAAGAAGTGCGTAAGACAGCTTCGGAGCTGTCGTAGGATTTCGTCGTAACCTGTGCAAAACGTACAAACATTTCGTTTCGTGAATACAAATTTGTTAAGTTTTCTCTTACGCACATTTTTGGCGTAAGATCGTTTCGTGAATCTGGCCTCTGGTGATTATTAACATCGCCACACGCCCGGTCGGTTATGTTTACATCGCGCAGGGGGCGCCGCCGGTGTCGCGTATCGCAGCCGCGAGTCGGTGAGATACGATCGCCTTAGAGTGCGCGGATGTAACCTTCGGCATCACTTTCTGCCATAGGGGGCGGTGAGGGAAAGAGTGAGGGGGGGGGGGGGGCTGCAACCTATTTTGTGGGCAAGTCTGCATCAAGAAACACTTAGTTTCCTGCGGTGCCGTCTTCAGTTCTGTCACGGCTTGGAGTCCAGCTACGCCATGCGTTACACTGCCATATTATACACCCGGATATAACCTTCCGTTCACGCCAGGCCCTCCATCGGTTGGGCCAAAAGCTTCCGTAACACTGCTCGGTTTTAGCGGTGTCTTAAACGACAAATCAAATTATTTTGTCAGCCAAGTACTCATATCAAAGTACTAATTTGAAAATGTAGCACGGTGAGCATCTAACCAGCTAAGTATACACCCTAATAAGAATCGGGCGCGCCGTAAAGTTCAGTATTCATTGGCAATATCAGCCACATCAGCGATGAAAACAAGTTCACGTTTTATTTTAAAAATCCTGGGCATTAATATGACGAAATATGGATACTATTGCGTGCGTCGCTCGTGTACCACTAGTCGCTAAGACAGAAATGCCCCAGCGGTAATTGATGCGACCACGACCTGGTCACACATTTTTTTGTTTGTTTTCAAACAAAATAATGAAACATGTCTTTGCAGATTAGTAATTACTACTCATCAAGGGCCCATCGGGTAAAATTTAAAGTAAATCGAAAATGATTCTTTTTTTTTAATTGCCGCACAAAAATCGTAAAATTTTAACTCTTTCGATTTCGACGAAATTTCCCGGCGCAATGCAGAAAACACTTACAACATTAGAACGCTAACTAATTTGTTAGAAGTTCACAAAGCATTAAACACTCGAAACAAAAAGTTTCAGGTTTAGAACAAAAATTTAAGGCGACTTAAAAATTTGTCGAAAAATGCCTCATTATGTAAGATTTGCTCCTGAAGCCAAGTTTGGCATTTTATTTCGCTTGAAATATATCTTCATAAAAGTTACCTTTAACTAATTCTGACAGAAAAGTATTCGTGCATTAAACGTGAAAACGCCGATGGTGTAGAAAACTTTATTCTTTATTCCTACGGCCTTCAAATTGGCGTCATCGCGCCGTTGAGAAAATCGTTTTTTTAACCTTCTCTAGAATGCGATTTTTTTCACGATTACAAAAAAGTACCTCGCAAAAGTAAGGTCTGTCCCGTTGTGTGGACAGGTTTTCCAACCTCATATACAAACTTAATTGAAAACAAAAAATACGCATCACACCACCATGGCCGTCTTTATCTGATCACACCACGCAACGAAAGATACGCTTGATCTAAACGGGCGTGGCTTCAGGCCTGAAAGTGGGAAAACAGTACATTCTCTTGCTCCTCAAAGGTTCCCCGAAATCGCCTAGGCCCGGGTTGCATCGAAGTTTCTTCAACGTTGTCGTGCCGCCACCTTCCAGTTATCCTCGAGCTGGAGCAGCCAGCGTTCCTGGGTGGCCCCCGTGACGTCTTCGAGCGGGCGTTACCCAACACCCACCTCTACGTCTATCTTTTGTCCGGCTGGGCCCCCCTCGGGAACCGGAGCTGCACCTGCCTTGACGTTGCCAGGTGACGTCGCACTCTGGTGCACACTAGAGTTCCTTAATATGCTATGTCAAGGAACTCTAGTGGTAGCTATATATCTTAGGTAGCTATATACAGGAACTCTAGTGCACACCTGCCAGTGGAGTGGCTGGAGCCGCGCACGAAGGCTGCTCCAACAACGAGGCGTACGCCCCCTCGGATACGGTGTCGGACACCTCGTCCTTCCTGGGCTGTTCCGTCGGAAGCATCACGGAGGCTGCCGCTCTCCCAGCCTTATCCTCATCCATGAGGCGATCGTCGGTCTTGTCTTGCGCACCTCGTCCTGCCACCTGGGCGTACGAGGGGACGCAGTCGGCCCGCTCACGGCCATAGGCCTGGTACTCGATGCACCTTGGGGCCCGGCAAGCACGACGAATTTGGCCCGTCATTCGGCACCGGAGCCAGATGGGGGTCTGCCAAGGCGCGACCACGAGCACCGAGATACCGCAAAGCCGACGCTGGTGAGGCAGGCGGTCCAGGCTGACGCCCTGTCGCAGAACAAGGCGCACGTTCCTGGTCGTCGACTTGGCACCTTCGATCTCCGGCTCCCTTCAACTCACGTGCGCCACCTCCTTGACATTCCTCGAGCTCGGAGAATTCTCGGTAGATGACGACGATGCTGACGCCGAACGCCCCCCAGTGCAGCCCCGTCCCCACCTCCTGCCTGAAAGGGTCGACCCTTGACGGCGAGTCGCCCCGCCTCGAGAAGCTTCGGTCTTGGCCCCTCCGGTCTTGAGGTCGAGGAGACAGATATGGGATATCTGGACCGCCCCAATCCTGGGAACCTCACCGAGCGCGCCTGCTTCACCGAGTGGTTGACAGAAGGCATCGATGCGATATGGGTGACAAGTTATGTCACCATGGCGCACGACGGCACGCTTTGTCGCCTCTCTTGAAGGCAGCTGGGGCTAAATAACCCTGCAATTATCCGGGCCGGAGAAAGCCGAATCGCCACGGCCAGCGGGGGCCGTATCGCCGCTTCGGAGGAGCTCATGATTCTGCGTCCAATCGCTGTTCATTTTGAGCACCATTGGGCCTTTGCAGCATTATTTTATGTGCAATGACCGAAAGCAATTACGACCTGAGAGAAGGCAAAGGTGCACTACGCATTTCGCACAGTTGGGACCCTTGTAACTGAACTTGAAAATACCTGCACCTGTTTTTCTTCTTGGAGTATCGAGGTGACTGGAGCACGCCTTCATACCTCCCTGTCAGCTTTAGTTTTAAAGGACAGTGATTTCTTTTGAAAAGACAATTCAATTCTCAACTACTAAGCGCAGGTATCATCGCCCTTGCGATAGAGTGACATTTATTGGGCGCACATGATGAGAGATAAATTAAATCATTCTTGAGTTGTTGCTGCTGAGCAATACTGGGCGCCAAAGGGTTAAGCGTCTTCCTGTAATTTCAGATTAACTGAAAGGCATAAAAGTGTCAACAGCCTGTAAGCGCAGCAATGTAAAGTAGTGGCGCTTAGAGGTTGTTGTGCAAACGCGCAACCGCGATTATTTACTTTCTGTGACGCTGCGGGAAATGAAATGAAAAGGAATTTGTTTAACCAGGAAAACGTTTTCTAAACACGCAGTGTCGTCGTTGGAAAATAGCTTTTTTTATGAAAATATATAACTCCCTACCCAGAACATTTCCACGCAAAAAATAAAACAAAAATGTAAATAAAAACTTGACTTTTTAATTACATAAAAAGAAGCTTCTAAAGGAACATAATTTTTTAGCGTTATTGTTTACAAGCGCTTCGGCTTCTTAGGCACGTTGTCCTCGTTTTTGTGACATAGTCAACCTCCACAGGGAAAGAGGAACGACAGTGAACTGCTAAATGCCCTTCAAGTGAGCACAATCTCTTATTTCATCTTGAGCCTCTTTTATAAATTTTTAAAATGGTATGTTCGAACTAGTGTGTTGATGAGCGTATTGGTTTAAAACAACGCCGCAAACAAGGACAAAGTAAAGACGTCGTCTGTCGGCTGTCTCGTCTTAGTTTGTCCTTGTTCGGTCCCGCTGTTTCAAACCAACATCTCAATTTCTTCTCCCATCACACGAATTGCTACATTCGGCGGAAACGTCACACTAGTTACACCCTTAATTTGGGGTTCATAAGAAAAGTTATTGCCCTCTGCGAAACACTACAAATATAGCTGTAAATCGTGCTATGTTTATGGGAACACAATGAATTAGTTTTGATAATGCGCAAGAAAATCGATCAATCGGTATTTTAGCCGAACCAATGAAACCATCTGAAATGGTTCAGAAACATTCTGGTGATACCAGACTAATCTCCCAAATCAAAGATATTGTACGGAATAAGTGTCTGAATCAACCAGACCTTATTAAATAAAAAATAAGTAAATCTAACAATGTTTCCGCTTGTTTCGGCTGCATTTTCCGCAGAGTCGATTTTGATCTAAGAAAGCGAGGCTCATACACGGCTGCATGATTGTGGTATATAAGGATTCACTGATACTCATCACCGACGTCGCTGCCGACGCTGAGTGCATAAGTGATATCACTTTTTGTCCCGTTATTTTACGCACAGCACCGGAAACGCCACGAGAACCATGAAACGAACCGGAGGCGTGCCGGTATGTTTGAGGTTTGCCCACTTCCAATGACTTAAAATTCCTGAACAGCTGACATTAAAATTGAACCGATTCAGCGAGATATCTTCGCTTCCCACAAATAAAATATATTTTAATTACTCTTGCTCTCTCGAACCGGACCCGGATGGCAAATATGGGGCACACTGATTGAGTGAAGCGCCCTGAAACACAAAAGGGAAATGTTGCCTATTTCAGGCATGTATGATTCCAACGACCTGGGTTCGATAGGCAGCATAATAAATTATAAAGGCCGCAGTTCCTCTAGCCTCCATTGAAATAGAGTTGTTCGTCTCTTACCCACCAAGTTTTCCGAACACACACCGAATGTAAACACTGGGCCTAATCATCGATTACTCATCCACCTATTATTACCTAAGCCCGCCTTGGCCTTAGATCAAAAGTCAGTTTGGACCCACCCACGGAGGGGCCGTCACTCAAACCAACGCAGGTTATGTTAAAGATCCGGCTTGTTGAATGTCATGAGCATAATTCACGACACAAAAACAGTTGGCACACGTCTTGAAATTCATCCCGACAGCAGTGCACGTGATTATGACGATACCGGTTGATAAGGCACCATCCCAATGGCGTCCTTGTGAGCTATACTTTCAGACCACAGCAATGTCGCCGTTGGTGATCGACTTTCCCGCACCAATAGAGCCTATAGTCTTCAAGGGTTGTCCGGGAGAGCAGTCGCCCGAGGACGCTTCGAGAGCATACGTTGACGTGGTAAAGGCATTGCCTCCCTTGCGCATCGTGAACTCGCGCTCAGGCGCAAGGTCGCTGCGTCTTCTGCACGCTCGAATGATGTCCCGCAGTCCGCGACGAATGTGGGCGTTGAAGAGGCCGTAGAAGACCGGGTTGACGGCGCTGTTGAGCAGGGCCAGCGTCTCGGCGAACACGATAACCGCCCGGGGGACCTTGATGCAGTAGTGACTGTGAATGCGGACATTGTGGACGGCGAAGTACGGGATCCAGCAGACCACGAAGCTGGCGATGATGCAGATCTGTTGGGGGGAGATATGATAAGAACGTGTTGGCAACCACACGTAATACCTTTGTTCCGCAGTCATACAGTTTATACATCACAGAAAGGACACGGTGTTTGCTGCAGACATGCAACATGACTATCTGCGAAAAAAAAAACTCAGGCATGTTGTAGGCATGTCTGCTTCGTACATTTGCATGATTCAAACATGTCTCCAGACAGTTTCTGTATGACCAAGCTGACAGGACCATCATACAAGGCAGAAAAACGTCTAAGGCAGTGTCTGCATACTGTGTTTTTTATGATGTATCAGTAGAGTGCCCGCGGCTTTAGTGAGTTTATACGTATATTAGAAGGCTATTAGCAAGTGAGGAGATCGCGGAATCGTTTATTCAGAATCGCACTGGGATTATTTCAAACAAGTGGTCAAGGATGTGGAAACCCGTCGCCAAAACTTCAGTGCACATAAACCCACAAGTCGTGGGTACAAATGGGTTAAGTTTCGTGGAATTTTGGGCGAGTGCTTCTTTTGTGCAGCAGTAGGCGCACGCGTCTTTTTAATTTCTGTGTATGAGAGCCCAGCTGTGGGTAACTGTTCCTTTAGTTATTGATGAGTTCTTTTAGGCTAGATTACAAAAGGTGTAGACATGAGACCATATACTTGTACTGTAAACTGTTGTCCTCTGCGCTGGCAGTCGTGCGGAGAAAATACTTCGCACGGTCAACGCTCAAACCCGCGTCTCCCAGTACACTATATGTATATATATATATACGTATAATACAACACTTGGGGAAGTAAAATAAATTTAACACTATTCCCAGAAGCGAAACTACGCGAGTCATAAGAAATAAAGACCTTTTAATTTTCCGCAGCCTGTCCTATGGTTGAACGCGATAACCTATAGCATGAACATGTTATTCAAGTTCACCACACATAAATATGCCGAGAGAGGCCCTACTTTGAAACAGAGCCCGTCTTCATTTTGAATTCGTTTTGCTGTTTTATTTGAAACACCGATAAATATTTCACGTCTAGCAATCGTATAGTGCTCGGCTCAGTGATTGCCTCGGCGTAAATGAGTTTGGTAAGCTATTGATAGATATAAGCACATTGATGACTGTGAAGTATAGCCATCTTTGCTTCTTTGCCCCTCGCCGCAATAGTAAGATTGGCAGGGGTACATGATCTAAAAGTAGCATCTTTCAACTTTCCATGATTTCGCATTGAAAATTAACGCATCCCTTATTTTCACTCAATGGTTTCTTGATTTCATGGGGGCTATCTCTGGGGGCTTTACGAGTTGGATAAATAATTGCGGTCAAGTTTAACAAGTAGACGAGGAAGGTTTGGAATGCTACTTCTGAAATAATAAAGAAACATCTCTATTTAGTTTATTATAAAATAGTATGAGGAGCTTGTTTCAATTAAAGGTTTCTACGAAGAAGAAGAAGAAGAAGAAGAAAAAGAAAAAAAAAGAGAAATTAAAAGAAGAAGAAGAAGAAGTAGAAAAAGAAAAAGAAAAAGAGAAAGAAGAACAAGAAGAAAGATAAAAAGGAAAAGAAGGAGAAGAAGACTTTGGAAGCAAGTAAGTCTATAAGTCTGAAAATGTAGGTCTCGGTTTGCCGATTCTCATGTTTCATAATACTCCGGAAATTAAAAGTAAAAGGCGCCCGGGGAAGACGTATGCATGTTTATCAGAACACGAGACATCGCGCATGTGGAATGAATAATGATCATGCTGGTTTTTTGGTTCAAGAAGTGATTCGGAAATTTGAAAGCATCACATATGACTCTGCAGGCGTCGGGTTTCTGTGCGATGCACGCGCGTCGTGCCGTGAAGCCGAACGCGAACGGCGCAGAGACGGAGCGCATTCATGTTGTTAGTGCGAGACACATGCGCGCGAAATCCATCCGATCCGATGTCCGATCCGGCAGTATGACTGCTTGATTCGAAAAATTTGGTCGCGTGCGTCCAACGTGTCGGATAGTTTCGCACGGCGGGCGGACTGTCGGAAGCGTTCAGCCAATGACAGCACAGCTAGCGCGAACTTCATGATGGCGTACTGGGTCTGGCGGGACGAATAAGAAAACGGTACGGGCGACGGGAAGCCGGACGCGTGGATCCCGCGGACCCATTCGAAAAAGATGGCACCGGCGGAGAATGCACGCGCTAGCGAGAACCAGCTCCCAACTTCGCTTGTGCGAACTAAACCGTCAATCTGGGACCAGAGATCTATGAACACGTACCTACGCTGGAGCGCTTGAATCTCCTGGGCGAAGCCGAACGGATCGTCGTGTCGCATGCAAGGCCGGAAGCGTGTCTCAAACTGTCGCGTGCGGCAATTCGGAGCGGCGTTCGGACTGTCGGATAGGACGTCGGATCAGACGATTCTTCCGTCCATTTGTCTCGCGCTTAATGCGGATGGTACGACATCACTAGATGAATGAAAATCTGAACAACCATAAACTTCTTTCCAATTTACAGAAGAATGCAACGTATTATTTCCCGCTACTATATGAAATTAGAAAACCTAGATTATCCTACTTGAGCTTGTTGTATGCTGTCGCGAAAACATTATTCGTGAAGGCTCGATTCTCTAAAAAAAGGTTTTAATAAATATCACAACGTTGAATTCCATCTTCCTTTAGAGAAGAAAGCCAATGAACAACTTCATGGAGTTGCGACCACTGCACATTATTTATATCCCGTAACGCAACTATTCTTTGTTTCACCTTAAGTCCAGACGGAGCCGACGCTACGTGCTGAAGAAACCAATCAGATAGCGTCAAAAGTGCACCATCATGGTGTTCGTCAAGTGTCTCTACGTATTTTATTATAGTTGAACCAGCAATAAACATGGTCAAAGTCCTAGCGACGTGCGTTTATGACGCCGCTTGATTTGTATCATTACTTCGAAACGGCGGATGTGTCATAGGATGTCACGTGATAAAGTTGCAGCGATTAACTACGACCCCACTGGGAATGTAGAGTAATCTCGTTACCGGCCTGCAGGTGTTACTAGAACACTAGATTGAATTACGAAACAGGATAAGCCGGGAAAAGCCAACCTATCAAACTTCTTTAACAGATAAAGTAGAAAAAAAAAGGAACGTGAGAATCTATACTTTGTTTCATCTTTCATCGAGCGCAGCCGACACTGCGAACCGATGGGACTGATCAAACAGCTGCAAATGCACAAAGTCAATGCGTGCGTTTGTGATCTTTCCATTACGTGTTCTATTGTCCGCTAAACCAGTCAAGCGGAGAGAATGCGCGGTGACTTGCACCTTTAGTGTGTTTGTTCGTGTTTGCATGTGCTCGACACTTGGACTGCATTCGAACTTACGATAAACTGAAGTGAATAGCCGTATATTTTTGGTTTGGTTTATCGTCAGACAATTCTTTCAAAAAGAATCCAAGCAGGCGCCCGCCTAGAGCAGCGCCTCATTATATCTAAGTTCAACATTTCATTACAAACTTATTTTTTTTTACGGTATACCCCACGTGCAAAAAGATCACGCGAAGCTCCAACTATTAAAATGAACCCCGGAATTTATGTTCTTTCGCTATCCAACGTGAGTAGGCGCGAACTGACACAGTTTACAAGTTTGCTTGTCTCATACTTGGTACAAATTCCCTTGGTCTTGAAGAAGTATATGACTTAAGTGGGCGCACATCCAGCGAGAAGGTTTCAGCTTGAGAACGTTTCATTTTTTGTTTGGAGTCCGCGCACACAAGTTGCGTAACACATTAAGTTGCGTAAATATATCATAATAATCCGATTCTAAAAGAAAGGCTACTAACAACACCTCATTACGTTTCAGCACGCATCGATCACCGTCATAAAGTCGCCATTCCTTCTTGTCGTACTAAACATTTTTATGAGTCTTTTATTCCCAGTGCCTCGACAATGTGGAATCACCTTCCCGGAGCCATTGCCGAAATCCCCGATATCGAGTGTTTTAAAACTGCCGTTTCCAATATTTTTTTGTAAAGAGCCATTAACTACTGTATAATATTTTCTGTTGTACGCTGTATGTTATGTTGTACTTTTAATACCCACTCCCCTCTGTAACGCCTCTGGCCCTGAGGGTAAATAAATAAATAAATAAAAAAATAAATAAATGCAGCTGCTTCTGTGTCGACACTGGGACGAACCGCGCGTTTAACACCAAGTGCTGTCGTCAACTTGTCCAGTTATATCCCAATGCATACGGCCAGCATTAAGGCACCTTTTATGGGCACTCTGCAGATCTAACTCAGTGCCGATACGCGCGCCTCTCACGGCGGCGTCGCGCGTACTTACCGGGGAGCGATCTCGGTATTCGCAGCTTAAGAGGGGGCGCACCTCAGAGCCCCATAGAAAATACATGAGGTTTTTCACCAAATTAAAAAAAATTCTCACATAATAACGGCTGCGCGGATCTTCTTGAAAATTTTGGCTTTAAAGACATTGAGTCATTATCGAGACACTAAGCGCAACAAATGTTTCATCATAAATTTAATTATATTCTTTAAAAAATCATGAATATGGTCAAAATCGGCTAATTCGGCACTCTTGCGTTCGGAGCGAATTTACAAAATTATCTAAATTCAAACATAAGACGTATTGCGCTTAGTGACGTCTAAATTTATTACGGAATCGAATAATATTCAAATTATTCATGTAAGTCGATTTGTTCCATAACTACAGCAAATATAAAGAACCAAGGTGTCGGTGCTTGTTTTACGTCGTTTTTAAAGTACCTCTCTCTCCCGTGCGGTGGCGCTCGCTGTCCACGAAATGCGAAATCGTCCGTTCGGAGATCGGCCGGATCGGAACTGTGCGAGGTGTTCTTCCGCGGCCGTATTCCGCGCCCGTATCCTGTTTCATTCTGCACGCCGAGGCGTCAGTGTGCGTGTCTTGCTTTCCTGGTTCTCGCTGGGTAGGTCTCTGTGTTTTCGCAAGTGGCAAATTCACCTTGGAGCTATGGGTCGAACACAACCGTCCTGTGGCAAGCGGACTGCGAGGTGTTCC